TTGTAAGAAAGGCAGAGGGTGAAAGAAGGTGGAGAAATGAGAGCAACCTAATGAGAATATAATGAGAAAGGTAGGGAAACGATAGTAGGCAAATTTGCAAGACTCCTCAGAGAAGCTGTCATGATAGCTGTATACGTTGCCTCTGTCACTATATTAAAAGCAGTCTTCTTGATATTTATACAAAACTGAAGAATCTCAAGCAAAGATCAAGGTGTGGAGAAACATCCTGATGATGCCTTTTGTTAATGTGTTAATGAACTTTCTTGGTTAATGTCATAGAAAAAGTCATTTAAACCCCTAGACAAAATCTTTTACCTTGAACCTGTATACTTACCACTGATAATGCTTTTCGAAGACTGAAACCTAAATTAGAACATGAAGAGGTAGGTAGATAGGGGTTCTTAGTAGCTTTTTATCTGCTAAGTGGGACAAATTTTTTCATCTCTATTAAAACTCCTAATACATTTTGAAGCAAAAGCTTTTTGTCTTTTGTCCTTCTAATTTTGATTTTTTTCTCTTTATCTTCAACAAGTACTTTTCTGCTAAGCTGAGAACTACTCTAGCCCATGCCATTCATCACAGGAACATCTCAGAGACACTTGGAAATGTTTCAAGTTTTAACAATCAGAGACTTAACCTGTTTTTTTCCCATCTAAGTTACCTCCCTAGACACACTAGGAAAACACACACTGCATAACACAAGTTGAATAATAATAGCCATGAGGAATTTTGCATGAGAAGTAAAAACCTGGTAAAGTCAGGTCTTTTACTGTAGATTGCTGAGATCCCAGTGTAAGAAAGAGAGAGTCAACATAAATTAGAGTTACTGTACAGGGGAAGTGCAGGCCTGGCTGCTGTAACTATCCCTCCAGCACTTCCTATTTTGTGACATTGATTTTTTTTTTTTCTTTGAAGTACAAGCGATATTTGGGGATGCATTGGTAGTATTTAAAGTGTCTATTTTCTCAGTTGATCTTTTTGTTCTTTTATCATTACCATTCTTTTTATCTTGACCTAATCACATTTTCTGGCTTGCTTGTCAATTTAAAAGATATATTGGGGGGGAAGAAAAATGCTCTGATTGTGTTGTGTGGTGTTTGGGAGTTTTTTAATTAATTTGTTGTTTTAGAATGGTGTAAGGTTGATAACCTAGGAACTGAAACATCAGTACATATTTTCTCAGACTATTTTGATAGTATGCTTTATCTCTGACCTGGAAAAGCCACCTCAGCATGTGAGAGGATAGTTCATTCTCCATAGCTCATTCAGTCCTTGTCCTTTTTGCTAGGAATGCCATCAAGATTGCTAATTATAGTAATAGGTTTCTGATGTGGGTACTTTTCCTCTGAAAACTGGTCAAATTCATTTGATACAAGCCATAAAGCAGCTATTAGCGGGTACCGAGTCACAGCCACCATCAGTTTGACCTAAGTAGTAGCTGAACAGTGCAGTAATATTTTCCCCTCACACCCTATTTAATTTTTTAACATTCTCCTTGGAGCCAAAAAAAGCTCTTAAACTCTTTTATATTTCCAGTGGGTTTCAGAACCTTTACTGCTGAAACTTGAGTTGCCTATTTTCAATTACAAGCAACTAAACCTGCCAGAGTTAAATATGCCACACAAAATAATGCCAAGAGTGCACTTTACACAGTCTGAAATATGTTTTTGGGAGTTGTGTTGTTTTGGTCTTTTTTTATTGATGGTGTGGCTTGGACAGAAATGCAGAGTAAAGCATAATTTTCAAGTTTACAAAATAATTTCAGCCATTAGTACTCAAAAGGAAGACATAAAAAACTATAGATTTAAGACTCCTTATTTTGCTGACAGAAAAGTGGCTTTAGAAAAAAAGGAGTTTATGTCCACTAATTTAGCATCACTGGAAGGGGAGGAAGATATTTACAGGGCTTGCGTTTTTTTTCCCTATTGGAATTCCACATGATACTGGTGATTTAAAATTCTTTGTGGTATGGTATTTTTTAAATTTATGACCATTTTTTTTAAAGGAAGCTTTGTACAGACTGAGATTTTCAGATTTCTGGTGCTAACATTTTTTCTGGGTTTCCTAGCAGTGCTTTTCTTTAAATGGAAATGCAATCAACCCTTACTCCGTGGTGCCTTTCGTATTTCTTTCAGGTCTGACCACTAAGTCCAAGAGTCATGTCCTCAATAATCCTTGAAAAAATTGTTGTTCCTCATCCCCTTACTACGTATAGATACATGCATTTAGATACACTTATATACATCTTGACCTTTCTCAGAGTTGTTTTGCAATGTCAGTGGATTTTTCTGTACTTCACACTGAGGAATTGTGTTTGAATTACATGAACTTGTATGGCTAGTTGATGGTATTTATAAACATCCTGCCTTTGATTCACTATTTTCATTAGTACTAGAATTCAAAATAGCTGATTCTGATTCAGAGAATCAGGCTGATTCTGACATCAGTGTTAGTGATGGAATAATGACTCGCAGCAGACTTTACAGGTGCTGGTGCAGATGTTTGATTGCAACTCATGCAAATTTGTGGAAGCATTAAACAGAGAACAGTGTAGATATGGTAGCCTGGAGTTAGCCACCGAACCAGGTTCAGTATTAAGCTTTAGGTACCTTAGCTGCACTTTACCTGGTAGTCATACTTGTCCTTGTTTAAAGATAGCATGAGTAAATATGTACAACTTGTAGTTGCATCTCTCCTACCGCTGTGCTTACATCCTGAGTGAGAGCAGAATGAGTCCTGGTAGTATTTATTTTGCTATCTTTAGTTTACGTGGTTATTTCCCCACAGGAATAAAGATTTTCCTGCACCTTTTGATAATTTATGGCAAAGTTCTTGTGTGTAAATTTATCATTGGCTTTTGCATAATTATCACATCTTCATGAATGCAACCAAACTGAAGCTAGAGACCAAGAGCAGCCCTGGTGCTAAATCAGGAAGACTGGCTTTTGGCTGGATGTGGGGCCTTTAGCTCACTCCTTCTGACAGTACACGTGCCAGTCACATTGCACCACTGTTCATGTTCTTGGCAACTCATCGATTCCATGTTCTGCTCAGCATATGCTTTCTGAGCTTTTACCTACCCGCAAAACTCCTTTGTGCCTACAGTAGGTGTGCACAGAAAATATTGTATTTTGGATACTCAGCAGGAATTTGAAAGTAAAAGGAGAGAGATTTTTTTTGTGTGTTTCCAGGAGGAGGCACCTGTGCTGCCTTCCAAACTGCATGTGTGAAGTATAGTAAATATATGGTTAAAAAAATCATAATTCAAATCGCTATAGCGGTACTGATCAGATCTCTGTTTCTGTAGCAATGAGAACCCAAGGTGGCCTTTTAAGGCTCACAGTTCATCTACCAATTTCCAGTTCTGCTTCAGGATTCTTAAAGTATTAGAGTGCGTGCTTTAAACCCACAAAACTTACCTTTACCTAATTTTCACCATTCTAACCTAAGTTTCCACGGAAACAGGGTTGAAAAAGCCGCTGGTAGCCAGCAGGCAGCCAGCAGCTGAGAGTGAGAACTCTCCTTTGTCACTTTCCACTACTGGATGCCTGCTGCGTGCCAGTGTGCAAAGCTACCTAGGCTTCTAAAATCTGGAATACTTTCAATTTGAGGGGGAAAAATTAAATTAATCTACTCTCCTCTCTCTTTGGATTGTCGCAGTAAATTCCAGGAGGCCAAATGGGCTAATGAGTGCCGGTCTGTTCAGTTGCACTGAACCCCACATATTCAAAGCTTTCCCAACCAACTGGGCCTCTCCCTTCTTAATTTCCATGTTTTAAAAGCATTCTCTCTCAAATTTTGTGTCTGTGCACATGTGCACTCATATTGTGGTACTTTAGTCCTTTGTGGCTCTGTATCCGTCTATGTATTTATGAACATTTTTTTGCATATCTTACTGTCGATGTATAAAATTTCCTTTTTTTCCTGTGTACTTAGGGAACATTTCTGAATGAACACATTATAACTGATCCTCAGTTAAATATTGGGAGTAGGATGTGAATGGAGATGGCTTTTAACCAGAAGTAGATTATAGCTGCGGGAAGACTAAAGGGTCTATTTGGTCAAGTCTCATACAAAACTGAGATAAGCATGCACAACCTGACAAGATCAGATTAGACCCTTCCCCCACAAGTGCATTTCCCATAAATATTTATCTACTTTCTATTATAAATAACCAGGAAATGAAAAAGAAGGAGAGATATTGTAAAAAAAATTAAATTACTAGAAATAGAAATGCCGCTTCAAATCTTCAGGGTAATGATATTTTAAGTAAATTCCACTAGTTGCTGGTTCTAAAATGTGAGCAAAGTACTGAAATTCTTCGTGGCAGCTACATACATCAGCAGCATTTATAAACAAAGACAAACTTTGTACACAGGTGCATTTTTGCCTGCTGTTGGGTACCTTAGAATTAAATAACTTATCACCTGTGACGGAATAGGTGTTGACAGAATCAGTACTGCTGTATTTTTAAACTTGCCTGAGGTAGCATAGCTGGCATTGAAGTTAAGCTTGGCATTCTTTCCCCCTGTCCCTCCTCCCTCCAGCACAAGTGAATGCTCACTTCATCAATGAGAAGCACAACTGACTTGCCTGCCAGATGTAACGGAGATCCATGAATTCACATCTGTTCTGCAAATTTGTGTTTCATTAAGATTGTTGATACTTTGACTTCAGTTCCTCACACAGTGGTGTTAAGGGGTAAAAATGTGAAGCGATACCTGTGCCACTGGTTTAGGAATGCGTTTTTCTCGTTGATCCACTCACCAGAACCTGTGTGGATTGCCTTTCTGTTTTAGTAACAAATAGCTCTGTAGCTTTGAGATTTAAAACCTTAAAAATGCACAGGATAATATTTTACATTAATCTTTGAAAGTAGTGAGTGTGTACTTTTAAAACACTTCTGTGTCACATAAGAATAATATTAATACTTTAAAAATATCAAGATGAAAAATTTAATCCTTTCTTTTTTAAAAAAAAAATATCTTTTTTTCCTCTAGCATTTTACGATGGGATAATGAGACAGATGTCTCTCAACTGGAAGGACATTTTGACATTGTTATGTGTGCTGACTGGTAAGTACATAAAAATCATAAAACTCATGTTAGAAAAATAGCTTTGCTGGAGTAATTGTACTGTGCTGCTTGCTGATGGCTAAGCAAAGTCAACAAATGAAGCACAAAGCCACCTTAACCTCAACAAATTAATATTCATCTCCATGTGACAGTTATAAGGTAGTCTTCTATCACACAGTAACTTCTACCACATTATTTCCCAAAGATTGATTTTGAGAAGCATTTCCATTTTCTGGAATTGCCTCTGTTTCATGCTTGACGTATCAGTAAATGGACGACTTAGGCAAATTGCAAATAATTATGGCTCAGTGAGAAACAGTCTAGAGAAAAGGGAGTTTATCAACACAAACAGCTCAATTAGCTTACTTCTTAGGAAAGATCTGACTATTGATATAAGGGGATATATTTTTTGCTCCCTAGAAAATCTTTCTGAGGGAAAAAAAAATTTCAAAACCTTTTTTTCCCCCATCACATTCTGTTTCTTAAATCAATTTGACAGCAATATTTGTAGAAATAGGCTTTGAATTATTTACACAGGCGCATGTTAATTGTAAGAGAATTCTTAGTAAAAAAAACTAGAGTACAGCACTTCATTTATGAAAAGGTAGATACATGTTGCAATATAGTGTATTGTTTAGTAATTTATACAAATAGATTTGATTATTGACACAACCCTTTTCTGATGCTGGATTTGCAGGATTGTGCTATGCTGTATTTGCTGCATGCTAACTTAAAAAATACTACATTATTAATTATTTGTGTTGCATAAATGGAGACAGTGTACAAAGAGATGTATATCTTTAATTTAGAAGAGAAGGCATTTTTAAATTAATCTGTTTTTTCTTCATAGATATTTGCTCTTGACCCTTTAAATATCCACAACAGAAAATGCTGTTTATGTTTTGTTGCACGGAACTGTTGTGACAGACAAAAAGAGACAAAAATTCTGAAAACAGGGACTTCCTAGGACAGTTCAGTCCAGCAGATTTCTGTACCCAAGAAACAGTTAAAGGAAAAAGGCAAAGGGAAGTACGAGGCTGTCTATTGTCTTTTAAAACAATGTTCTTTTTAAGTGGCTTCTAATATTTGCTCTTGACCCTTTAAATATCCACAACAGAAAATGCTGTTTATGTTTTGTTGCACGGAACTGTTGTGACAGACAAAAAGAGACAAAAATTCTGAAAACAGGGACTTCCTAGGACAGTTCAGTCCAGCAGATTTCTGTACCCAAGAAACAGTTAAAGGAAAAAGGCAAAGGGAAGTACGAGGCTGTCTATTGTCTTTTAAAACAATGTTCTTTTTAAGTGGCTTCTAATAAAATATTCCTCTAAAGATTTTTTTTTTTTTTTTCTTTGATATTTTCCTATTTAAGCAAACTCTTCTGATTTCAGAAAAGTTACTGGTCTTGTGTAGCACTGGAGAAAGCGTGTTTTGTAATCTTTTTTTTCTTTTTCTAATACTTACATGCTGACAGAGTGCAACAGTGCTTCGTTTCTCTTAGCATTTAATTTCAGAAAAGTTCTTTGTTCCCTAAAAGGACAGAGAAGGGTTTCTAACTAATCGCTGATAATGTACCTCAGAAATGCATCATCTGATTAAAATAAGGAGCTAAACAACACCATATGATTTCAGCAAGTAATTTAGTAAATGCCTTCCTCACCAAATATTAGAATGGATACTCCAGGTTTCATTGCACAGATGAAGTTAATGCTGGACAGGATTAGATCAGATTAAGTATGAAAGTCAGATCAGAGTGCTGGCGGACATGAGCAGGAGGGCAGCAGTCTTCTCGGAGGCTTAGACAAGGCTCACATATGGATGTTCTCCAGATTATGTGGGTGAAGCAAGGTCTTGCCAAGAGATTTAGAGTTAAATTTGTTCTTCACACAAATATCAAAACAACCTGGCTGTGCCATCTCTTGTATTCTTGATACTCACACCATGTCATCCTATTTGTGCAGGGAGTACAGCCGAGTGGAGTAAGACTTAAGTTGGTTTTTTTTCAGTAATATTCTCGCCTAATTCTCCTCCCAGTCAGTTTGGAAATAGTGTAGTTTCTTTAGGAAACAAAGACTCAGACATGACAGGTAAAATACATAATGTATTTGCAATCACAGCATTTTGTACATTTATTTTCAAGCACTTAAGATATGCAGGTAAGTGTATAAATATTTATAGATTTCTAAAAAATAAATAGAAAGGTGCAGGTTAGGTTAAAGTACATGTTTTTATTCACAAAGTCTCTCTATTTTCTTATTGGAAGTGCCCATATAGATAGTTTAATAAGCACAAAAATCCCTTTATTGTTTGCTTCTTTTAGAAATCATTCTTTTAGTTATGGACACTAGGTTTTCTGGTACATGAAAAGGCTGGGGGAAAAAATGTTCAGTGCTTTATCAAACTGGAATCTTCTCTTAATTTTCATGTATTTCTCTTCCGAGATATAGAATTGGCTTGAGAACTGTTGGCAGGATTTTTGCTCTCTGAATTTTTCAGGCTGCCATTGAAGAAGGAAAAAAAAAAAATCTCTTTTCTTATAGCCCCTCGGCTGAAACCTGAAATATGCAGTGATAAAAACAGATAGAATAGATTGCATTTAGTTTAATGCCATCATATAGCTCATTGTCAGTCAATAAAATCAGGGATTGGAACAGAGAACTAGAAAGCAAAAAATCTGAGTTCAAATATTAGGTACATGGATAAATTTTTATTGAAGTATTTCCAGCAAGGGTGATATTGTCTGATTCTCTGAATAGCTAACCAGTGGTGCGGCTTGATCCCATTTACATGAAAACAAGCTCTATTCATAAACATATTCCAAATCCACATGGAGGTTCAAGTAAAAATGTACATGATTACAACAAGCAGAGATATGTTTATATTCATATATTTACAGTCAGATTTTCATAAACCTTGTGTGCAAGGGTGGAAAATAAGTTATTTCCCAGAATAGACAGTCTATTAGTTAACAGCTAAATTTAGTAGCTCAACTAGATTATAAAATAAATAAGAAGCAAACTGTGAAAGCTAGTCATTATTTAACCATTCAGAATTTTTACAATAAAAATAGTTTCATGGTTCA